AAGAAGCGTATGCGCTGCAGCTCATTCGATGCTTTGTACAAGGCTACGTCAACGTCCCAACGGGCACGACGCTGCGGTCTTTTCTCGCACGCAACCTGCAGTGTTGTCCGATGCGCGTGTCCAAGAAGCTGGGATCGCGGTCGCTCTGCGGTGCGCATTTGCCGCCTCGACTTGGGCGGGCGACGTTTGTCGAGGCAAGGCAGCAGTCGCCGGCTGACTGGACCATGGCGATGCGAGCTCTCGATAAGCTACAGAGGTTGGATGCGGCGCGTCAGTCGGGCAATGAGCAAGCATCGTGCAATGCGTTGTAGACAATGTTGTAGGTATCCATCCGGTGAAGAGCTTCTTTGTGTGTCAATGATTTCCATACTGTATATATACTTCCAGGATCCGCCGCTATGAGTGGCGTATATATTGCAGTCATGCCAAATTTTTTCCTAAAGTTGCAGATAGCTTGTGATGCGTTCTGTTTTACAAGGACACGACGCGGCGACGAGGAGGTTTAGGGTAGGCTACCCGCAACTCGATCTGCTGATTAGTGACTGGATCTCGCAGCGCCGTGGAGCTCTCGATTACCCATTGGAACGTCGCTCGCGATACTTTAACATGCCAAGCGACGCATCATGCACGATGTGGACGCAGAGCTTCGACGCGACACCCAATCCTTCTCTCGCCAAGTTGCTTCACGCTCGCCGCGATGCCCCTTGGTGAGTGCGCAAGCTTGGTCCACGCGCAATTTGGCAAAAAGACCACGAACGCTTCTCCCTTGACGTAACAGCTTCACTCACGAGCGCAAGAGGAAGTCCACTATCTCTCTCATTGTAATACCTCATTTTAATAACAACAATCCTAATCCTTATTCGACTTGGTACGTATGAACGAATGCGTGGGTGGCAGTCGACAAAGCTAGGTTCCGTCTCCATCGCGTGGGCATCGTTTTTTGCTCGCGTCTGGTTGCGGTTGATATCCCCAGCGAGCGTTCCCGACACGATGCATGCGACGCAGAGAACATGCGGTCAGTAGTGACCACAGCTGCATTCTGAGACGTACTCGTACACGTGGAAACAAAGCGTCGGGTTTGCATTGATGCGGAGAGGCGAAATGTGGTGGCGTTGGCGGTTCCACGCAAACACGATACACGCGTTGTCTTCTATGAAGCAGACCATTTTGT